GGGCAGGACAGTGCCTGCTCGTGTGACCTGCCCCAGGCCGCCCTGCGCCAGGCTCTGTGCGCGTGCGCCGCTCGGCAGCCTCCTGCCCGGCGCTGCCCTGTGAGTCAGGCTGTGACAAAGCGGGTGCTTGCCCTGACGCGGGGGTGCGGTAGCCTCTTCTGGCGTGTGGGCTTTTTTTGATGACTGAGTTTAACGTGGCAACTGTGTTAAGTGCCTGTTTGCGCTCTAGGCCTGGCTGAAAAACAGCATGACTTTGTTGGCATGACTTTGTCATTTGGGCTGTTAAAAAATTCAAACTCCAACTGGAATCAGTTTGCTGGCACTGTCCCGTGTGTCCCGTGTGAGGGCACAACCGTGCCAGCGCAAGAGAATGTTTTGGGGCTTCAGGAGAGACTTGGGAGGTCCAATATCTGTGCTTGCAGCCTGTTCCTTCTCTTGGTGCGGCCTGCACTAGAGGGTTCAGCCAGCAGGATAGAGGCTCTGTAGTGTAAATAGCATGTTTCAATTTCCTCTTCCTTTGTAGCAGAATTTTCATTAAAAGGACTGGAAATATCCCCCCCTTCCCTAAAGTTAGCTGCTTCTTTCCTTGCATGGACACTGCTCTTGCTCTCCAGGGTGCTCTGCTCTCCTTGCAGCCTGATGGAGCTGGCTCAAAACTATGGAACAGTTCACAGCAAGAGGACGCTTTTCTGAGCTTTGCCTTACATAAGTATTGTGTCTCTTCGAACCTGCCTGTAGAGCTCTAGTGGAGAGAAGCTAATTGGTCAACATCATATCCAAGCAGACTAACAGCTGAATGTTTTTGCAGAATGTGTCATGAGGTCTTTAATCGCAGCTTACTAAGCTACTTTCTAAATGTTGTTCGAAGGACCGTACTTGTGCGGCACAGTGCTCCCTGCCATGTGCTAGGGAACCATCGCAGTGGGCTTGGGAAGAAGCCTGCTGCCAGGTTCAATTCCTTGGGGCTCAGACAAATGAGGTGCGCAGCAGTGGATTATACGTGTGCTGTCTGTATGACAAGAATAGCATCTCTGCTCTCGAGAACGGACTGCCTTGAATAACAAAAGTGCTGCTTCTTTCTGTGTCCTATTAGAATTACTCTGACTGGAATCCATTAGACAATGGAGTACTGACTGTTCCAGTTTCTTCTCTTCTTTGCTGAACAACAGTGTGGATGCCTAACGTACAGGTGTCACTAAGCCCTCAGGTGACAGAAATGTCTGTGCGTTAGCAGGGGTGCAATCACAGTTACAGTGTGTGCAGTACTACATAACGATCTGTTTTTCACTGCGGAGCACTTAGGCTCTACTAAAACTGCGTATTTTCCTCCTCTTGTAGAGGTGGGCAGTTGTATTTGACTTGATTTGAATGGATATAGTTTTACAATAGGGACTGCTGTGTCCAGTCCAACCACACCTGAGCTAAAGCTTAACGTCTTAGATGTTCAGTTGTGACTACAGATGTCAAATGATTGTGACTATCATCTCCTGTAGTAAGCTGTTCAAATGTTTAATTATGTTTAGTACACTGAATTTGAACTTTACTGACCTGCTTTTTATCTGTTGTAGTTTGTTCTGCCTGTGACTGCTACACTAAAGTACCTGTCAGTATCAGACAGCTTGTGCTAGATGTACGTGCTTAAGGACTGTGATAAGAGCTCCTCTGAACCTTGGCCCTTCGCTGCAGCTATTCTTCCTGCTGCTGAGAACTGTGTAGATGTGGTTGAATGTCCTACCTTTTATTGACAGAGATATAGAGATATGAAACCTTTATAATATAGGGAGGGCTACACTCGCTCAGAGCAAAGGCTTTCTGGACTGCTGTTCTGTTGTGTCCTCTCTGCTTATTCTGATGACTTCCAGTATCCTCTTTTGACTGCTACTGAGCAACAAACTAATGTTCTTAGGGAACTGTCTTTGAGAACTTGACTCCTTCCTCACAGTGGTTAACACAAACTGGAAGTGTTTGCTTTTCTTGAGTGCATGTTCCTTTTTACCTTGTTCGACGTGGGCTCCCCCCCCCCCCCCGGCATCATAACAGCCTTCTACATCTGTGAGCAGTTTTAGATTTTTACAGTACTGAAAATCTGTGTCCTATCCCAAAGGTACCACGGTTAAATTTTGTTGCATATCCATTCATTTGTTCTTCCGTCTAGTTTTTATGAATCTATTGACGAAATTATAGCCAGTAATCTTTCTTCACTGTGAATTCATCCATTTGGTTCTAGCTTTGTTTACTTTCTTTTAGTCCTTGGTGGACTAAAAGACAACAGCTTAGGATCCTCGAAAGCCTTTATCTGTATACTTCTGATAGCTTTTTCGGGAATGCTAGCATGCTGTATATTTTTTAAAAAGTCACTTACCGACTGCAGTTTATTCATACAGTTTTCTTAGAAATGATCTTTTACAGAAGCTGGTGACTCTCCCAGCATGTCAGAATTGGAGTATGAACCCTCTTCGTTTACAAAAATAACACTGGAGTAGCCTCAGACCCATAAAAAGTATCAATGCTAGGAAAGTGCCTGCTTTTTAATTAGATGGTTTTAATCTTGCAGGTTAGAAAAGTAGTTTTGTTATGTCTTGTAAATTGGTGCTTTAATTAGTCTCTATTTGCCTGGTAGCAAATTAGGAAACATTCGGGAGTGTATTAAGCAGTACTCTAATGCATTGTTTTGTTCTTTAAATAGCTGCTGCTGCTGTTTCTCTCCCTCAGCTAGTTGCTTGAGCTACTAACAACAAGTTGGCTTAACACGTGTGAGTAACTGCTAAGTTGCAGAGAAACTGCTCCTTTATGAATGCCATCTTTTTTTAAAAAAAAAAAAAAGTGGCATTGTTAATTTTTTGTTTCTTTTCCTAAATCGGGAGCGGTATCATCATGTCTTTTGGTATCTAGGATAGCCTCAGAGGTCGTGGAATATTGTGGGAACTGCCAGTGGAATTCAGAAAAATGATCTTTCATAACTGGAAGCTCAAAGAGGCTTCAAATTAACATGTGTATTTATTTTTTGTTAATGAAGTCTAGTACTTGTCTTCATGTCTGTTATCTCTTCGCTGGTAAAAGCTTATCTTCATACATATATGGCGTAGTTTTTTTGCTTTGTTTGTTTTTTGTTTTGTTTTTTTTCAGTGCTATGAATATCAGTATTGGGCCAATATAATCTGATACATCAGTCAGTCAGTGCTGGTATTTCAGCCTGTAGTTTCATATGAACTGAAGCTATTACTGCCACCCAAAACCCCATCCCCTCTCTGTCTCTTTGCAATCTTTCCTCCCCCCCACCCCCGCCCTGGGCTTCCCAGTCATTTCCCAGCATAGCTTATGGAGTGAGCAGGAGCCGAAACTGTGGTTGCAAGGACTGACTCTTGATGACAGTGCTGGTGTAAATACCTGTTGAGCTGCAGTTTTAGGTACAAACTTGGGGACTTCCCGGTGAGTAGTCTGCAGAGTTGCTTCAGAAGTCCTCACTGCCGTGCCTTCCTGCTTGTCACAGGCATGCTCTAGTGGAGGCAGCGTTCAGTAATGGACTTGAATTTCTTTCGGTAGCTTGGTACTATTGGCTGCTGCTAATACTTTGTTCCTTTTAAGGAAGCGGTTGGCATCAGTTGTTCAACATTACAGCAAATAAAGTTCTCCCTTGCCTGGGCACCTCTCAATAAACTTGAGTTAAATGCTTTGGTCTTTATTAGACAGGCATCACTCCTGTTGTGTGTGTGTGTGGTTGTGTGCGCTTTGGGGTGTTTGTGCGTGTGTTTTTCTTTAATGCCGGTCGCTGTGCCTGATGTCACAAACGCAGCGTGTTGCAAAAAGATTTAGTTTGATGCCTTCCACTGCTTCCCTGCCGCACACACACCCTTTCCTCTTTGTGGAAAGGTGGGAACTGGAGTCGGTCACCTCTCAAACATTAGCTTTTAAATCGGCTTGAATTTCTCCTTTTAAACAGGTCATTGGGTATGTAGGAGCAGACATCTATGCCAGAATTCATTTTAAGTGTTGCTAGCTTAAAGCAATAGCAGAGCTTTTTGGTGTTGAACCTGTGTCTCTAATCGTAGAAGAAACAAGTGAGGAAGAAAGAGCCATGTTGGCTCAAGTTTAAAATACCGGGTCTGGAAGCAGCGTGAGGACGGGGAGCGTGTCTGCCAAATAGGGAAAAAATATGCTTTTCAAGCTCCTTGGGTGAGTGAGGTTTTGGTGCGTGTTTTTTGTTGTTGCTGGTTTTTGTTTTAGCACCTTTTTTTTGCAATAGTCTCTACAAAGTTGCTTGTTAGTGTCTCCTGTAATGATGTGTGCAGAGTGACTAGGTTTTGCTGACTGCTCAGTGTTGCTGCTCAGTTTTGAGGACAGCATCTAGGAAGCAGAGGCAGGTTTGCAGTTCTCTTCTCCCAGTGTTTGTACTGCACTGGGCTGAAACTGTAGCTGCCTTTTTTTTTTTTGGTTGCTGTGTACGTTTTATGTGTAGCTGCTTATTCTAATTCTGAAATGGCAGTGAGCCTGCATATATGGCGAGGAGTTTGGGTGGTTTTGTTTTTTGGAGTAGCTGCCTGTTAGAAACTTGCTGTGTTCAGCATTTGCAATGTATTAGATCTCTGCTAGCTAGCTTCTTGTTGTGAAAGTGGCTTTACTGTGACCCTTTGGTTTCAGCTCCCCACAGTGCTACTGTCACAAAGCAGATTTTCTTTTCCATGTCTTAATGAGAAAAGATTTAGCAGCAAAACCCTCTTAGCAATTCTTGCTCACTATTCCCTGGAGGAGCTGCTGTATCTGGGGCAGCAAAGAGCTGTGCTTTTTGCAGTGTGCTTTTTGCAGTATGCTTTAAAGACGCTTCACTCTCGTACCAGCTTCAGTGAAATCTACAGCTTCCACGTAACCAGAGCTACGGGGTAGGAGAAGAGTCCAGGAACGTGACTTCCACTCAAAAGATTAATACTTCTGCTGGAAGGCTAATAAATCAAGTTTCGAGTGTGCAGAGGATCAGGGATGTAAGTATAAAAGGATTTCACTAACAGTAAGTGTTTTCCTTTCAAATAACCACCGCTGGCTATGCAGGTAGAATTACTTTTTGTCTGCTTGTTTCTTAATATATTTTTGGTATCTGTTTCAAGTTCTGATCCTTCATGGCAGGAGGCCAAAGTGTTAATAAGGGTGATTCTGTGTACTTGGCTTCAGGTTTGTAGTCCAGATCCTGCGGCGTGTACGCCTCAATCTGGGAAAATGGAGTTCAGAGCTGGCGACAAGGTGTGCGTGCTATAAGAATGGAGGTGAAACTAGCACTGTTACATTGGGGGTTGCAAACATCAAGTTACAACCCGTTTGCATGCTCTATTGGAAATGAGGAGAAACACATCTTTTGGGTTTTCTTTATTTACCGCTTGTCCTAAGTGACTGCGAAGGTGATTCCTAGAAGGAGCAGAAGCATTAAATGAAGTAGGTAAAGGGAGTGTAACAAAGAGCTAACAGCAAGCCTGTGTCGCATTCATGGCAGAAGCGAGTGTATTGGTATAGACAGCACGTTCAATACTTGAACTTTCTAGTTTAAAGGTATGGTTTTACCTGGGGAAGGCAGGATTGTGGCGTGTGTGTGTGTGTGAGGGGCACTTTTGGTCTCGGTTCCAGGAATGTCTGCAGTAAGCTGTTATGAAGACGTTATCCGTTTCACCTCTTATTAAAGGAGAAACGGGAAAGAAATATGTCTTAGTAAGTTCCTTTATTTCCCAGTAAATAGGCATCGCTGCCTTTGGGTGGAAAAAGAACTAGTCTGAGCTCAGAAAGAGCAAAGAGATTTGCTCTTCACTGAAGTTGTGTGAGACTGTAGGCCCAAGCGATCCGACCTAAGTTGGATTAAACCAGGTGATCGCCAGAGGGTCCTTCTAACCTAAATTTGATTCAGTGACTAGATGTTAGTAATGTTTAGGTATTTAATTCACAGTGGGAAGAAGTACCTAAATATATTTCTCTTAAATCTGGCTCCTATTGCTTTGATAAAGTTGCCTTAAATTCTAGAATTGCCTCTTAGAGATTCTTAATAATGAGTTCATGGTGTTTTCAAACGCAATAGCAATTTTATTGCATTCAACAAAAGGAGCTTGATGACGGGGGTACCTGTGTGGAACGTTCCCTGGGAGACCAGTAACCTAAAACCGCAGTAAGTGCAAAATGAAATGCAGGAGGGAAATCTGTGCTGCTTTGTCAGATTTAGACCTTCGGCTGGCTCAAATTGAATGGTTTAATGTAAATCGTGTCCCCAGTGCCAGATGACCCAGGGTGGAGACGCTCAGAGCTGTGGGAACTCTTGCTGGCTCTCAAAGTGATACGCCGCAGACAACAGTTCATGTCTGTTTTCAATGCCATGTTGCTCGGGCACAGCTAACGCGCTCCTATCCCGAGTTTGGAATAGCTCTTAAAACTTTGTCAGGGCTTTGCCTGATCGTTTTTATTTACAATAGAGAGGATGCCAGATGTCATTTAAAAACAAAAAAAAAAAAACAAAAAAAAAACGAACCTTCACTTTCTTTTTTCCTCCCTAGAAATGTTATCATGCTTGGAATTGAGGACTGTACATACAGAAGTCACGGGCAAGGATTTGGTAGCCTGGATCAGAGCGGTAGCTCTGATGAGGTTACCAGGCACGAGGAAATCCTGGTGGGACTCGCTCTGCATGCATACAGCTCTCCCAGGAAGCGTCCGCTCTGCCAGGCTTGCGCCAAGCAGATGGTCTGCTCGGGTAAAATACAGCTAGCGTGCCTGCGTCCGTCCCCGAGATTCTGCACGGAGACTCGCAGCCGGACGCAGAGGGATGTAACCTGGCAAATCGAGGCAGGTCTGACTTGCGTGCCCTCTGCACAGAGCAGCCTTGTTTAGCACTGCTGAGGTCCTCGGGTCTGGCCCACGCGGGACGTGTACTCCGTAGCTGTCTGGGGCAACTTAATCTTTTCCTTCTTTTTCTATACCGTAGATAATCCCTCTTAGTGAGCTAGCTGGAGTGTGCTTGAAGAAAATAATTTGTTCTGGAAAGTGAAAATCTTCAGCCCAAACAAGGGTCTGTACCACTGACCGATTGAGGTGCCGGTGATAACGGCGTGGGTGATGTGTGTTTCAGGATGGTATCTCCTGAAATGTAGGATCACCTTATAAAAACCCGCTAGTCTGCCAATACTTGGTTTTTCTTTACTCTCCTGCAGGTTTGCTTCTTTCTGTTCAGGATGAGTTGATTTAAATTAGCATTTAAATTGGAAAGTAGAAAGTTTTGAGGGACTTCAGTCTAGCTTTGGTTTTGCAAGTGAAGAAAAGATTCCTTCTCTTTGGTTTTTGGGTGAGCATTACATTTATTTGAAGCCAATACATCCCTTACCTGAAGTCACGTGTGTATATGGTTCTAGTTAATCTTTGGTTAGAATAAGTCATTTTAAGTCTTAACTTACCTTGCTCTTATTCTGCCAGGGAATGCAGTGATACTTGTTACTAGATTATAAACTTTTTGTTCTTGTGTGTGTGATTTTTGTCTGAACAGAAATTGAAGTCCAAATAAAAATTCATTTAAAAACATCAGCTTATTATTCTTCATTGCTCAAATCCAACTAATTTATGTAGGATGCACAAGGCAAAAACATTGTTAAAACATGTCTAATCGTGCTAAATAAAGGAAATCTAAACCTGCTGGATCACTTGGTGAGGTTTTTGAAGGTATGGAAGTACTTGAGGGTGTTTCAAAAGCGTTTAAGCAGCTTTCTGCCAAATTATGATAAGCATCAGGCTTATCTTGCATTTGAACACCCTGTTGGATTAGGAATACCGATCTGAATTGATACCTAAATTTCTCTAGAAATATAGTATTGTGTAGATTCTGCTTATCCCACATAAGGGTTCTCAGAGGGAAAGAAAGTCTCCTGCTCTTTAGGAAAAACCTGAAGTGAGGTGGTTTTGGGCGGGGTGTGTATGTGGTTTTTTTTTTTTTTTGTAAATCATCTAATTCAAGTAAAGAAACTGTTTTCTCAGCACCTGCTAGCGAACATAAACTCAAAATGGGACCTACCCTCGCACAGTGGAAACTGGAAGTACTAGCAGTAGAAATATCTATTCGTTATGCAAAGTGAGCACTGATAACTGATGGAGTTGTTGTTACTTTAGCTGGTGTGGAGAGCTAAAGGCTTCTGTGATTCTTTTTTTTTTTTTCTTTTTTTTCTTTTTTTTGGGGGGGACTAGAATTCTAAAGTATTCTTTAGTTCATTAAAACTAGGGTTTATTGATGCAAAATATTTGACGTTTTGAAGCAGTAAGTTTAGGCCTTACGCCATGTTTTTAATTTCGAGTTATATGTTAAACTGGCTTATTTCTTTAGTAATACACTTCCTATTTTTATGCATCCTGCTTCCGTTGCTTCCCCTGTTCTGCTCCATTACTGTACGTTTAGGAGCCCGAACTCCGTTGCAACGGTCGGCTGCTATTTCTGCTCTCCTGCAGCTCTCCCAGAGGAAGGTAGCGGGATTTCTTTAGCCCTGCTGGTAGTATGGAGGCCACGCAGAACACGAACAAAAGGCAAACCCTGCTGGTGATGGCTATAGAAGAGGCAAGGCGTACGCGTTGACTTTATGTGTAAGGATAGCGGAAATCAAACATTGCTACCTGAGCTGGAAAACCTCCAAGCCTGGGCTCGGACAGCTGTGCCTGTGGCATGTGTGCTCAGCCCGGTGTGGTGTTGGTTTTGCTGCAGCTGCTCCCAATTATGCAAACTTCCGTTGCCTTTACTGGGCAGCAAGAAGGACTTGTATCTGGAAGAAAAGCTCTGAAAACCGCTATGGATTTTTAAGGAGTATTTGATGGGTTTCCCTGCAGCTACGCCATGCACGTAAGACCTATGAACGGCTTCCTTTGGTCTGGGGGGTTTTATTTATTCATTTGTTTCCCCCTCCACTGAATTTGTTTGAGTGAAGCAAATCAGTAAACTAGTATAGATGTTAACGATCTTTATGCTTTCCTGTAGTTTCCCTGAAATGTGTAAGTTGTAGGCGAACATCTGCAGTTTTAGGTAGAACCGAAGAGAGTTCAGTGCTCTCAGCTACAGTCCTGCTCACTGCTAACTTTTGTATTTTGGAAAGGGGTTTTCTGGATTGTTTAACTGCAGAATTCATTCATAAACGTGAAATGCTGGTTCATTAAGTGAGCTTCTTATCTCTTTTCACAAGTAGGTGTGATCAGTGTGCCCGGTTGGGTAGAGAGGCCGTGGATCGTGTTAACCATGCCGGTTCCTAGAACATGGCCATCACGTGAACAAAAGACTCTGGAGCCTGAGGGGAAGATGCTAAAAGAAATAAGTAACTTTAATTTGGTTTTTCGAAAGTGGATTTGGACCTGCTTCAGTTACCTGCACATGGTTAGAGCTCATGTTTTTCTTTGCGGCAGTCACCGCTTTTATTTCAAAGGTCAGAAAACTTGCTGTGCGTCAGAGTTTTGCAGCAGTGAACGGAATTGCACTACCTCTAAGCATAGAGGCGTTTTTAAGGTCCATTCAGTCTTAGGGTTGTATTTAACACTGATGCTTGTTTTCTAATTATTTATTTCTTCTTCCAAACATATCTCTTGTCCTGTAAGTCTCAGCTGACTCCGGAAGTGATATTTAAAACTGGAGCTTCTTTTGGCCCAATTTGCCGTCACCCTTATGCCCTGTCAACACCCGGGTCAGAATTTTGCCAGCACAGATTAGATTTTATTTTTAGTCACGTATTTTGCTGCTGTGATTGTGCTATTGTTGTGACCTCAGGTTTTCCCTAATGGGAGAAAAGAAAGGAGAGGTTTTAAGAATAACTCCTGGTAGCAGCTATGATCACTTTACTGGAGATGCGCAATATAGGCAGAAATCGGTTCGTATAGCGTATCTCATCTCACTGTGATGTGCCTCATTATAACCTCACTTATTTTCTGCTTGTCAGGAAAACTTGAGACTTCTGTATGGGTCGTAAGCTTTTGTATGCGCTGGCAAACTGGT